GCCCCGCTCCAGCAGGTCCCTGGCTCTGCTGTGCTGAGGACTCCAGAGCTGCCCCAGCACTGCAGGGGGGTCTCCCCAGAGCTGGCAGAGGGGCAGGATCCCCTCCCTCAACTGCTGCCCACGCTGTGGGGCTGGGAGCACGCTGGGCTGGCTCCTGTCCAGCGTTGGGCAGAGGCAGGGTGGGCTGGGACAGCCCGATGCAGTTCACAGCAGGGCCTCTCTGGCGTTATCTGCAGGGGCAGGTGCTGCGGGCTCAGCCTGCTCTGGGCTCCCTGGCCCTGCCCGGGGCTGTGCCCACAGCCTGGGTGGCTGCTTCCCTCTAGTGGCTGCTGCTCCGGGAGCATCCCTGCCTTCCCAGAGCCCTGGGAGTGAGGTCACCTCCCCAGAAGCTCTGCTTCAACTCGAGGGGTTTTGTGCCTTCTCCTCTCCCAAAGTGAGTTTTGCCTCATGCTTGTTTCCCAAATACTTCTCTTAAAAAGTCTCAAGGGCCAGTTCTCAGCTCTCAGATGAGTCCACCTTGGATCTCCTTCCCCCCAGCAGCAGAGGAGAGCAGAGCAAACTCCTGTAGCAGGTAGATGAGAGAGAAAGAGAGAGCAGTATGGCTGCTCCTCTTGTCAGTCATGGCAGTGTTGGGTTGATGGTTGGACTTGATGATCTCAGAGGTCTCTTCCCACCTTCATGATTCTGTGCTTCTAATAAGAATAATTTTAGAATTCAATTCAAAGAAGGAATTGAGGTTTTGCTCCATTTCTTTTTCATTTTTCCAAAAATTAACCTTTTAAAATTTTTAAAATCTCTCTTAGCAAATTTCTTATGCCCAAAGAACAGTCTGTTCCTCCTTCCTCTGAAAATGAAGTTCAGACACACCTGCCTGCTGGCTCCTGTGGATTTTGGGGTACAGGTCTGGACTAGGACCTCTCCTTAGCCTGGCCCCTTGCAGCACGTGTGATGCTGCCACCGTCACCTCTATCCTTCTCCTTGCAAAGTGCTGAACTGGAGGTGGAGCTACAGCTCTTGAAGCACCTCAACTCTGCCTGTCTTTACCTCCTCTACCCTGTTAGAGAATCCTTGTCCTGCTGACCTTCAGAACCTTTTTTTTCCTTTGCAGAAAAAGTTAGAAAACCTGAAGAGTCTAGATCTGTTCAACTGCGAGGTAACCAACCTGAACGATTACAGAGAAAACGTGTTCAAGCTCCTCCCCCAACTCACATACCTCGATGGCTATGATCGGGATGACAAAGAAGCCCCAGACTCTGATGCAGAGGGCTACGTGGAGGGCTTGGACGACGAGGAGGAAGATGAGGATGGTATGTGACTCGTGCTGCTCGGTGTACGTAAGTTAAAAGAGCCGTAGCGCGTTTCGCTTCCAGCTCTGACTCGTTGGCAAGAGAAGGGTGTTCTCAGCAGCTTCTTTCCCGACTGATGTAAAGGAGAAGTTACCTCAGTGTCCTCTGAAGGAACGAGGGGAAAGGAGATGGGCAGGGCCTGAAAGAGCTACTTTCTCAGTCTTATCTCTAGTGAAAGATCGGGATGACAAAGAAGCGCCGGACTCTGATGCAGAGGGCTACGTGGAGGGCTTAGACGACGAGGAGGAAGATGAGGATGGTATGTGAATTTGTGCTCCTTGGGGTGTGTCAGTTGAAAGGTTGAGACGTTGTGTGGGACGTTTGCTTCCAGCTCTGACTGGTTGGCAGGAGAAGGGTGTGATTCTGAGGTAGAGCAGAAAACGTGGCGCTCGGGAACGTTGTCTAGTGGTGACCCGGCGGCGCTGGGGTCACGGTTGGACTCGATGGGCTTAAAGGTCTCTTCCAACCAAAATGATTCTGTGGTTCTGTCTCAGTGTCCTGGGAAGGAATGAGGGGAGAGGAGATGGGTAGGGCACAAGCAAGCTGCTTTCTCAGTCTTCTCTCTAGTGAAAGGGTGGTAGAAGAAAGGCACCAGGGTGAGGAGTAAGGCACTGCAAGAGTCCAGGGAACAGTTAACCCCAAGGGATGAGGACGTGAGGGAGAGGTGGGTGAAAGAGGATGATGTGAGCGTGCTGCAGTTGCCAGAACAGTGTGGTGAGAGAAGCACGAGTGGTCTCTGATGGAGAAGGGGCAGGGTGGACAGCCAGGCCAGGCACGGAAGAAAGCTGCTGAGGAATGAAGTAGAGGAGCCCAGGCTTTGATGGGAGTTCATAGCTGCTCTGTGAGGTCAAAATGAACTAGCTGAGAAGAGGCAGAGGAGAGGAGGGTGTGTGTATGGAGGTGTGCCTGGGGCAGGCTCTGGGAAAGGCACTGAGGAGGCAGCGAGCAGCTCTGGAACCTTGAACTATGGGGCTGCTGGTTGGACGTGGATCTGGCTGAGTTTGGGGGGTCTGCTGGACTCCCAAAGCCTGGGCTTGCACCTTCCCCCCTGTGGGAGCCGTGGGGTGAGTGCTGCAGCCCTGCCTGGCAGCCTGCTGGCTGCACAGAGCCCCAGCATGGTGGTAGGTCTTGGAAGGACCTCTGGAGATTCATCACCCACAGCTCTGACTTGTTGCCCAGGGTGCCCAGGGTCACATCCAGGTGGATTTGGGATCTCTCCAGAGCAGGAGACTCCACAACCTCTCTGGGCAGCTGCTCCAGGCTCGGCCACCCTCACACCAAAGAAGTTTTCAGCCAGCTTCAGCAGGGAGAGGTTCTCCTCACAAGGCTGGGCCTGCATTCAAAGCTCCAAAACACCATTCCTGCAGCACAGGAAAACAATTCCTGGTTTGCTGCTTGGGCTAGGTGCATTTAATGTCTTTTCTTCTGGAAAAGAGACTGCAAACCCCTAAGCTGGATGGTGTGAGAGCTTTCTGGATCACTGTGGCAGCATGAAGGCAAGGGATGGCCCTTGGGGAGGGCTCCCAGTGCACGGCTGGGTTATGAAGTTCTGCTCTATGCCTGCTGGGAGCAGATGGACACTTGCAGATGAAGAGCTCCAAGTATCCCACGGGCTCAAAAATATCTGTTAGCAGTGGGGACTGGAGCAGCTGAAGCTGAAGCAGTCCTGAGGCTGCTGGGACTTGCTGCCAAGGCCCCTGAGGCCCTAGAGGAGCTCAGGCCGTGGGTGCAGCTGCCACCCAAGGCTGTCACTGAAGGCCAGGACGAGGCCCAGCCCTGGCTGCCAGCCCTGGGCCATGCTTCCCCTTTGCTCCCATGTTGGCAGGAGGTCACATCTCAGGTGGCAAAGTTGGGGGGGGAAAAAAAAGTAAACTTCCCCTGTCTGAGCTGTTCCTCTTGTTTGTGTAGAAGAGGAGTACGACGACGATGCTCAGGTAGTAGAAGATGAAGAAGATGAGGAGGAAGAGGAGGAAGGAGAAGAGGAGGATGTGAGTGGAGAAGAGGAGGTAAGGATTTGTGCAGTCCCAGCACCTTCACTCCACACCCGTGGTGAAATAGGAAGAGTCAGGCAAGAAATGGGCCAAATACTGGAGGTTTTTAGAACTTTGAAGCCTTGCTTTCCAGCTGGAGGAGCCCTGCAGCCAGGGGTGCCTTTAAGGCCTCTCTGTGAGCCAGCTGCCATCTAGTGACCACTGCCACGAAATCATCCTGCTCCTCGGGCTGGTGGCACCCAGGGGGGGGAGCAGGAGCCCCTGCAGGCTGGGCTGGGCTGGCAGCCCCCCAGCAGACAGGACTTTTCCTGGCCCTGTGCTCTCAGCCAGGAGCCTCCTTGGCTCTCTCCACACACCTTCCTCTGACCAGCCCTCCAGTTTCACTAAACTCAGGCCATGGTAACAAAATCTGCAGCTCTATCTCAACACAAAGTGTAAACCCTTTGCCTTGCTGAAGCCTTGAAGGTGGCTGCTCTGATGGCTTGTGATTTTTCTGCAAGGAAATTTGGGCCAGAGTCCAGTTGGAGTGTAGCAAAAAAAAACTGCACTTACATAAGTGTGGGGGAAGCATCTGCCTTTTTGTTTGAGATGCTCCAAGGGCTTTCTCTCTCTGTTGGAAAACATCAAATTGGGAGAGATCCTGCACCAAAACTGAGGGGTTTTTTTTTTGGTTTTTTTAACCCTTACATTGTTGTTCCACCCAGGAGGATGAAGAAGGCTACAACGACGGCGAGGTAGATGATGATGAAGATGAAGAAGAGCCTGGTATGGCAACAATCCTTTTTCTTTTTTTTTCCAGTAGAAATAAAACAATGCTTTTTTTTTTTTTTTTGGAAAAAAAAAATACCCTTTCCTAAAGAGCAGCCTGCATTATGCTCCTGCTCCTTCAGTAAAGACCCAGCTGCTGAAGCAGAAGGTGGTTGAACTGGCTGAAGTTCCCTGCAGGGGAGGGAGCTCTTGGCTCATTCCAACCCTCTCTCCTTTCCTAGATGAAGAACGGGGACAGAAGAGAAAACGAGAACCTGAAGACGAAGGGGATGAAGATGACTAAACTGAAGAACCTATTTTGAAATTTTCCTATTGTGATTTGACTGTTTTTACCCCGTATTCCCCTTCCCCTCACCCCCAACCTTTTTTTTTTGTTTTGTTTTGTTTTTCTTTTTCTTTTATTTTTTTTTTCTGATTGTAATGTTAAAAAACGAGAGGGAGAAGCAGACTTGGGTGGGCAAGGGAATAAAAATACTATTTTTACTGCCACTCCTCCTCCTATTCATTTGAAATGGTTTCTTTTTTGTCCCTCTAACCTCAATAGTAAGTATAAACCAAGTGGTAATTTGTTTCTTATTATTGGAGTGGATAGTTTGAGATCTGGAAAACAAAACTAGACAAAGTTTGACGATTCCCCCAAACACTCTGAGGCAGCTCAGTGGCTCCCTGGGATTCTCCCACTTCAATACATCCTAAGCTTTAT